TGAAGGAAAGAGGCACATAGGGAAGGCACACAGCACGGACAGCAATTAGTCTGCAAGTGCTGGAAGGGGAGATTCTTTGAACTCCTCTGTCGGTCTCGACCCATGGCAATCGCGGGCTCACCAGGCATTTGCCCTTTTTGCTTGATGTCTAGCCTGGGCCTGTAGGTCTAGCTATCTGCCCTTCTGTTTGACCATCTGTCTATCTGCCTACACTTTAATTTTTGCTTTGTCAGTTCGGACGTTGTATTCACCTGGTGGTAGTGAGTATAGCATGCTGAATTTCTGTATTAGCAGGAGATTCTGAACTAGCAGTAGCAGAGTGTCTGTTGTGTTGAAGGAAAAGTCAATCATAATTTCTACCCAGTTCACCAAGTCAGATAGTGTATATATGGAATTTATAACAGTGAACATTCTTGAAATTCCAGTTTTATTTATCCTTGAAGTTAGTGAGCTTAGAACAGGAAATTCCTTTCAAAGACCTTGTCATGATGATTAATGTATCTATCTAGAAGAGCCAAGTTAAAAATGATAGCTCTTCATGGTCATAATAGATGCATGCTACTGGATTTGACATTTACATACTGACAGGTATTGTGGAAATATCCTGAGCTTACGTCTTATTGTGTGTATAAATCTTACCGTAACTATTACTGAGCTACTGCAAAGCTGTCGTTTAGATTATCATATAATGGCAGTTTTTTTAAAGGGAGGTTAGTAGAAAATAAATATACATTATCCTATTTCATTAAATGCAGTGCAGACATTTACAGAGCCAGAAAGGTGCTTCATCTATCAGGGAATTGCCTAAAGTGCTAGTTTTATACAATACCTTTGTGCTTGAATTTCTTATAGTCTCATGTATTTTTATGTGTAATTATCACCCAGACGTAGCATTCTTAATTAAAAAGTTACCTGCCTAGCTTGAACATACATGGGGCAGGTGATGAACAACTATATTTTTTAAATTATTTATCACTAAGAGTGAAAATGACATATTTATTAATTTTATCCGGTGTTCTCATCTGGCAGAGCAGACGGTGCTACATTTATATGAAACTGTCTGAACGCTGGGATAAATCATCCCAGATCAATGAAAGTACAAAAATGTGCAATTGTTTTGTAATTTATTATCAATAGAATGACAAGTGAGTCCATGGTATGCAAGCATATACATTTGTAATATATATAAAAAATACAACAACGTAGACTATGGGGAGAGCCCTGTTTGATGGAACCAATGTAATACTGAACTATATAGCATTAAATGTAAAGCAGCACTGTCTGTCTATCTGTCCACCCCTGTAAAATGGGTATTTCATAAAGATAAAATCTCTATGAAATACTCATACTGACTGTTGGAATTTCAGTGAAATTCCAACCCATTTAAAAGATATACTGAGACAAAGTATAAACTATATATATACAGCCAAAAGTACAAGAGAGCACTCCAGGGACTTCCAAGTCGAATGAATAAAACTTAACTTTTATTAGCTCAAAATAAAAATCAACGTTTCAGTCTGTATCACAGACTTTCATCAGGATTTGAAACGTTGATTTTTATTTTGAGCTAATAAAAGCTAAGTTTTATTCATTCGACTTGGAAGTCCCTGGAGTGCTATCTTGTACTTTTGGCTGTATCTGTTTGCTGATGAGCACCGGGCAAGTACATCAAGGAAGGTGGAGTGCATTACTATTTTTGTTTTATATATATATATATATATAAATGTGTGTGTTTTATTTTATTTTTTTTCTACACCTTACGCTTCTAGACACTAGGCAGAGCTATCACTGCAAAGATATTAGCTGCGTCTAAGGAGGATCCTGCTGTCTCGTGGGGGCCTACATAGACCTCAATGCTGTACTCTCGCTTATGCAAAACTACAGCAGCGACGTCAGCTCCTGGTGCTGAAGCGCCAGGAGCAGAAGTGGACTGGCAGGAAGAAGATGAAGGCACCCGCAAGGAACAGATTCGGAAAGTAACTCTGACCTTTCCCTGCACCCCCCACGGCCACCAGACCACCAGCGGCAATTTTACAAATTATGCAAAGTCCCCTGACAGTGACAGTGTCCCTATAAACACCCATAAAAAAAAACTGTCTTGTCCAATACATATTCCTTTTAAAATGCTATGATGGTGAATCTATATTTGTAAACGGCACATATAAACAAGTTAGTGCTTTAAAAATAAGAACAATAATCTGCAGTTATATTTAGGGTAATTGTGTTGTAAATTTGAATTATACAAAAACTGCACATGTAAATGTGAAATATTATATGACTGACAATTCGTTTCACATGCATGTAATACACAAATGATCGTGTTAGGGGCTGGCTGACTTTATATGCTCTGTAGTTTAACATTGGGACAATCAAACTCTTGCATCAGCTTCAGACCATTATTAATTTATCCATGAGGCAGGATAAAGACAAAACATTTAGAGCTCAATTTATATTCCCTGAAGCGACTATAATTCCAGACTGATTTACAGAGACCTTGTGACAATGACAAACGACTGCAACCTCCACAGCATTCAAAATGTAGACAGTCTGTCCCAAGTATCACATCTGTTCCTGTCTCGAAGAATGCTTGGCTCTGGAGCTATTTTCATCATAAATAGGGTGAATATACTGACCGACAATGGCATGGAATGTTTAGGGAACCTTAGGAGAATGCAAGACATTTTCTGTAACATCACTGGAGATTGGTGTCTCTTCCCCAGACCTGATACGCCTGTGACCCCATACCTCCTTTAGAAGGCCAAATGACCTCGAGCATCTCTGACCATCTAGGGGTATTCTGGCAAAGGTGTGGCTAAGTTAGACTACAGCATGATGCAAATACAAAAACTACTTAATTGATGTAAAGTTATTTTGGTGCTTTATCTACTGCACTAAGATTCTGTCTATTCCATTAAAATAAATGAGATTTATGTAAAAAAGGTTGTTCTAAAAAAAAGTGCAAACATGTAAAGAGGGGTGGGGGGGGTGGGGGTCACCAATTATCTGTGCCTGCTGGTTACTCTGGTTTCCATGGTGACTGCCCCCTATTTTTAGTACTTTAGACCACTTTTCAGATCTTTACACTATTTATGTATAACCCCATCTGTGTAGTCAAGCCCTGTATTGTCCAGACTGCTCCAGTCCAAAATGTTCAAACCATTCTATATCAAATCTGACTTTTCTAGCATATTCCAAGTAAGGGTGGAAACTGGAACATTGAAAAGTATTTTGGACAAGTATGTGGAACAGTTTAAATGGACACTATAGTCACCAGAACAACTACAGCTTATTACATTTGTTTTGGTGAGTAGAATCATTACCTTCAGGCTTTTTGCTGTAAACATTGTATTTTTAGAGAAAATGCAGTGTTTACATTACAGCCTAGTGATACCTCCATTGGCCACTCCTTAGATGGCTGCTAGAGGTGCTTCCTTGGGCAGTGCTGCACACAGGGCCGGCGCTTCCTATAAGGCGAACTAGGACTGACAGGAAGTGTGCACTTCCTGTCAGTCCGGCCGGGTTGCGGACCGGAGAGGAGCTCGGCCACGCTACAGGGAAGGGGAGGTGAGGAGAAGATTACAGGGAGGGAGGGGGGGGAGTAGTGAAGATTACAGGGAGGGGAGGGGGGAGTGGAAAAGATTAGAGGGAGGGAGTGGAGAAGATGAAGAGAAGGAGGGGGGAGTGGAAAAGATTAAAGGGAGGGAGGGGGTTGTGGAGAGATTACAGGGAGGGGAGTGGAGAAGATTACAGGGAGGGGGAGTGGAGATGATTACAGGGAGGGGGAGAAGATTACAGGGGTGGGAGTGGAGAAGATTAAAAGGGAAGGAGTGGAGATGATGGGAGGGAGGAGGATGGAGGGAGTGGGAGAAGATTAAAAGAGTGGGAAATGATTAAGGGAGGGAGGGAGTGGAAAAAGATTAAAGGAGGGAGGGGGTGCAGGAGAAGATTACAGGGAGGGAGTGGAGATGATTACAGGGGAGGGTAGTGGAGAAGATTACAGGGAGGAGAAGATTACAGGGAGGGAGAGAAGATTACAGGGAGGGGAGAAGATTACAGGGGGGAGTGGAGAAGATTACAGGGAGGGAGGGGGAGAAGAAGAGAAGATTAAAGGGAGGGGGGGAGTAGAGGTGATTACAGGGAGGGAGAAGAAGAGAAGATTGGGAGTGGGTGGGAGGGGGGGACGGCAAATCTTTCTTTTGCCTAGGGAGGCAAAAATCCTTGCACCGGCCCTGGCTGCACAGTGTCTCTACCCTAAAAATGCAGACACTGAACTTTCCTCATAGAGATCCCTTGATTCAATTCATTTCTATGAGGACCTGCTGATTGGCTAGGGTTGTGATAGACTTGTGCTGACTCTGCCCCTAATTTGCCTCCTTGACAGTCTCAGCCGATCCTATAGGGAATCATTGTGATTGGCTCAGACCAACATTTCTGATGATGTCAGCAGACAGAGGCAGTTCACATGAAAACAGGGGCAAAGCCAGGAGCTGCAGACCTGAACAGAAGTAAGATTTAACTATATTTAGGTAGGCAAGAGGAGGAATACATGTTTGTGTTCCTGGTCCTATAGTGCTCCTTTAAATTTGCCATGACAGTCCTGCATTTTGGGGTACTAGTCCCAACAAAATTGGACTCAGGGGGACCTCTCCACATTTTGATATCCTGCCAGGCAGATTTCAATATATATGAAGATTAGGGTATTAGGACCCTGAACAAAGGACTTCATCTGCGCTTTGTGCATGGTCTGGCTGTCAGTCGGCCTAACCACCCACTTTTATCTAGACAGAAAGAGGAGGTATTTTATTGTATGTTTAGTTTACTCTTATTTTATTATCTGTTATATCTGCAGTTTGATCAACTGTTTGTTTATATTATTGACATCTTCCAGATTCCTTTGCTCTCTTGGAGAGGAATGAATTTGTACTTATTAGAAACTAACTGAAAAGCTAACTGAAATGTACTATCTGTTCCTAGTAATTAAAACACATCCCGGTTAAGTACAATTATCAAAAAAGAAACACTTCCCAGTGGGAATATCCATTCTTTATAAGCAGAGTTTGTGAGTGGAAGCATGCCCAACCCCACCATCCAAAGTTCTGGTTTGGAAGAAACTCATGACACCGTATCTGGCCTTTCAACTCAATCTGAGGTTGAAGCTTGAGGATAAGGCACCAACATACTACGTTGCGCTGTACAATTGCTTGACTAACAAACAAGTAGTTACAAGCAGACAAATTGGACATACAAGAATAGAAGGTCGTGATAATGAGGACATGATGCCAAAGACAATGCTATGCCGTAGGGAGCGAGTCGAATGTTTAAAATAGAATGTTTGATCATTGCAGCAGAACGCAACAGATTTAAGAGCCTACTGGAGCTTTTACATTTTCCCAGTTAGTTATCAGATTTGACATTTAAATATCTCATATGGGAATTTTGGGAGGTCACAAATTATCTCATTATCCAAAATTAGCATTATCCAAAAATATCTGAACTTCATTTAAAGGGACACTATAGTCACCTGAACAACTTTAGCTTAATGAAGCAGTTTTGGTGTATAGAACATGCCCCTGAAGCCTCACTGCTCAATCCTCTGCCATTTAGGAGTTAAATCCCTTTGTTTATGAACCCTAATCACACCTCCCTGCATGTGACTTGCACAGCCTTCCATAAACACTTCCTGTAAAGAGAGCCCTATTTAGGCTTTCTTTATTGCAAGTTCTGTTTAATTAAGATTTTCGTATCCCCTGCTATTTTAATAGCTTGATAGACCCGGCAAGAGCCTCCTGTATGTGATTAAAGTTCAATTTAGAGATTGAGATACAATTATTTAAGGTAAATTACATCTGTTTGAAAGTGAAACCAGTTTTTTTTTTCATGCACAAAGTGATTTAACTCCTAAATGACAGTGAACTGAGCAGTGAAATTACACGGGAATGATCTATACACTAAAACTGCTTTATTTAGCTAAAGTAATTTAGGTGACTATAGTGTTCCTTTAAAATTTGGGTTTACACCATTCTCTGAGAATTCCTGATTGTTTATTCGGGTAATATTCCAAAATCCTCTAAAGGTATATACTATCATTATATTTTAGGTTATAAAATTGCCAATCCAGTTGATTCGTCTTATCAGGCTTTAATAACAATTGCCAAGAGATAAGTCAACTACTTTGAATATACAAGCCACCAACTAACCCCTGAGTTTGTCTATCAAATTGCATTTTTTTCTAACCTGTGTTAATGTACAATTTTATACATTGTGTCAATGTCATAACCCGTATATATTCCAATCAGACTTGGAAAAGTGAGTAGACCGCTTCTCTGGGCAAAATATGGCAATAATTTACAAGCAAATTATCCTGCAGAATGTAGAGGATTGCTACGTTTAGAAATAAATGAAGGTAAGTGTTGGCAGAGCAATTTCCATTGTTCTAAGATTTATTTCAGCAATTAAAATGCATTTCAGGCAGTAAAAATTGAATTGATTGTTGCCATTAGCATATCACCATTCTCCTTGCCGCAGAGACCTATGTCAACACTTCATCAACAGTCTTTTAATAGACTCTAATGGCAGGCGGTGAACAGGTAAATGTCTAATAATACCAAGAAATAAAAGAGCAGATTTTTAATTCTATATACTGTATCTATTCTCTGCACCTGTGTGTGTTCTTTATTCTGGTGACGGCTGGATGTCTGTTTAACCCTTTCTTGGTTGGGCCTAGACCTTTTAACTATCACTCTGTCATTTTGTTTTAGTTGCAAACAGGAGATTTGGCCTCTGTATTCTGAGAGACTGGAAGCAATGATATGATCAAAGATATCAAATATTCTAGCTGAAAACAGGCTTATTTACCAAAGTGATATGTAAAGTGATTTCAAAGTAAATTTTTTTTTTTTTGCCAATATATCTAAATTGACACACACAAAAAAAAAAAGATATTCTTAAAATTATTATATGTTAATTTGTGACTTGCAATATTCTTTAATTAAAGTATGCAATTAAGCACCAGGAAAAAATCCATATATAGGGTGCATAAACACTCCGTACAAGGTATTTTACTGATCATAGGATGCATAGCGTTCCAATGGTGACTGCAAATAGAATTTGTGTAACATTTGCCAATTGCTACAGTTGTAATAAATAGTATGAAATGAGTCAGAAATAGAGAACGCTGTGGATAAAACAAAGTTGCGCAAGGGGCTTAACTGGTTATGGTTCTTGATGGTTCCCTTTAAACATGGATATTATTACAAAACTGTCTCCAAGATAACAAAGTACATTTTTGTAAGCCATTCAAAGTAATTCATGCTTTACAGAACCTAGGAAATTCGTGTGCGTACTTGTATACAGAATGTAGCTCTGTAGCTGTGAATCCCAGCCAATGAAAACGTCTGTCAAAAAAAAATCACATTCACACCAAACCCTAAAACAAGTGTTATTAAACTTAAAATGTGGACTGAATCCTCGTGGCTTGCACTATTGTACAAATGCTGAGGATTTAAGTATTCCAGACATGTTAAGCAAATTAATGCAGAGCAGGCATATTTATATATAAATTATTATTCCTATTGGAAATTAAAGTAATCACTGGCTGTTTCAGAAAATTAATTGAACTAAATTTAATTTATTTGGATTAATTTTTATACATATGAAAACCACAAACAAACCTATAAAAAATAATAAATGAGTCGTAAATAATACACATATACAACATGATGTCATATCATTCCTCTCTCCATTGATTGGCCCTACAAGCAGCCAGTGTTGGTAGGATGAAGAATTAGCAGGCCTGGCCTAAAAAAACATGAATTGCTATTGCTTCCACCAGAATTACAGTGCGGGACGGGGTCACCATGAAATTCTCAAAAGCAAAGCAGATATCATTTTCTCAACACTTTCCACCGTGCAGCCTGGCATTTAATGGCTGCCTAATCTATCACTAGTGTCAGAGAGTGGAAAGAACTTGTAGTTAAGGGCACTTCCTGACACCAGATCTACAGTAAGTGCCCTTCTATAGATTGCTGTTAAAATGTGTTGGCACCATGACCACTGCCAATCTGCGAGCTGAGGTGCTGTTCACCCATTGAACCAGCCTTAGCTTGCCTCGGGACAGCTATTGTATCGTCCACAGACTCACACAGAATCTGATAATTCCCAGAATTTGGATGTAGGCTCCGTTGCCTGTGGACTCCATAAATTATCCAATAATATTATACTCCATATCAAAGTATTTACTGACATAATTAGTTTAATTGCAATTAAATTACACAATTTTTAGGCGGCTTTGCGTTGCTTCATGTATTAAGGAGGAGAAAGGAACTTACTTGTGATCTCTTTCCCCTGTAAATCTATTAACCTGTCTAGGGGCAATCAGGTTGAAGTCAGGTGAGGGCTGGTGGCTGACTACAAATTTCTACACAGAAATTTGCAGTCAACAGATCTTTAAATTGCTAGCCAAACAGTAATATAGGTTGAAAAAGCTGTGTGCGATGCATTGTTTTATTCTTTAAGGGCTATGGGGTCATGTGGTCCCCATAGTTTGATATGTGAAGAAAGAGAACCTAATAACAACAGGAGTTAAGAATCTGGAGCTGGTGACCTATTCTGAAATCATGCTATTGCCTGGGGTCTTAGATTAGCCCGACTTTGTGATGGCAACAGTCAGATATTGGCTGTGCACACACTGCTGAGAGCAATGGGGTTCCATGGTACACCCATTTGTCTGAATTTCCACTTGCTATTGGCCAAGATAGGCTGAGGCTGTCTTTTAGCCACTTGTCAATGGCTAAAACATATTTGGTGTCCCAAATATAAAACATTTACCATATTCAAATGGCATAAAAAGTGAAATTCAAATTTAATAAAACAAATGTTAAAGGGACACTATAGTCACCTGAACAACTACAGCTTAATGTAGTTGTTCAGGTGAGATCTATAGCTTCCTGCAGGCGATCTAATGTAAACACAGTGTTTACATTGATTGATAGGAATACCTCCAGTGGCCATCACTCAGACGGCCACCAGAGGGACTTCCGATCATGTAGGACCCTAAAAAGGCCTTGTACACGTCAGACGTATTAAAATACTGTGTGCGCCTTCTCTCTCCTGCCTGTCAGCAGGGGAGAGGGGGCGGGCAAAGACCGCGAGCTGAGCTGTCAGTCAGTAGTGCGGTAGTCTGCTCAGAACTTCAGAGGGTGGCATGAATGCCGCCCTATGAAGTATGTGCGCATGTGCGGCAACGCCGCACATGCGCACAAGGGAGCAATGACACTTCCAAATGGAAACGTCTGATTGCTCCATGCTCACACCCGCCTATTTCGTAATTTTGACGAAATAGGGGGCAGGGCTTCATGAGGCTCCCGGTGCTGGAACCAGGTGAGTAAAACCGGCTGCCTGGAGAGTCCCTTTAATATAGCTAAGCTGGTAAAAGTCAGATATGTTTCCAATTCAACTACTCTCGTTTTAAATTTGAAATCTGCTGTCCGTGAAATATTCTATAGTATTAGAGAGATATATAAAAATGTAATTTGTTATTTTTAATACACAAAGACGCCAGTCTCAGTTACTATGAGTTTCCTATTCATTATTAGGCAGATTGAGGTGAGACGATACAGTTTAATGCTTGTTCATGATGCAGGGTTGTTATTATGTTCTTATTCACATAGTAACATTATCTTAAGGAAGGGGAGGCCTTGTTGTATTAATCCTGATAGAGAATATGTTTTCTTATACATTTAGTCAATTAATTTCCAGAACTGAGTTAGCTAACGTGTACACACTACTGCAAAATATACAGAATATAAACATATTTAGTCTATATCTACTGTCAGAGTTTTATACATTGTGTCTTTTTCAGTGAAGTAATGGTGAGAGTTCCTCAAGTGTCAAAATATGTTTGACAGCATTAATATAGATTGTTTTGATAGGTCATAGATTGCTCTGACTATCAGGGCTGATTGTTCATAGGTATCATAAGAGCAAGCTATACCAATAAAAGACATTCCTGTTATGACATCACACTCTAATAAGTTGGGCTCAGCCGATTAGGTTTGTTTTTATCCAGGTATCATAGCAACCAGCAATAACTCTATAGTTGTGTTGATTAGTCCAGTGAAAACCATTCCTGTTATGACATCACACTCTAGTATTCTAAATAGCCTAGTATTTGACTCAGCAGGTTATTTGACACTTGGAAACATCTGCCAAGCTGCATAGGGGGAACCGACTTGTACGCTGTACGCCATCAGGTAGGTTAAGTATATGGTATATATTTATCTATATGTAAGAACAATCAAGCAA